TTTTTTTTTTTTTTTTTGGTAGGACGGTGGAGAGGGGGCCGGGGAGCGAGAAGGAGGGAAGGAGAGAGAGAAAGAGAAATGGGGAAGGCGAAAAGAAACCAATGAGATCACCACCAGTAATAGGCTAAGCATCAGTCGATACAGTTCTGGTTCCAGCAACTGTTAAGGGCTTACGTACTTCTTTGATGATGTAAAAATTCCTCATGGTCCGTGGACAACTCATCAGAATATCAAATAACTGGCCAACACACGGGCTGCCCATGCATAGATGCATTTTTTGCATAGTTCCCCGCAGTTTTTATTGCTGTCGGCAGCGGTTTTTCCGGCAAATGCTTCTAGCTAAGCAAATTAAGACTGGCCGCCAGAACTGTCAGGAAACACCCCCTCAAAGTTTCCGCTTTCTAGTTTTCCTGGCTCCTGAGTTAGCAACTTACTCGAAGAAAACTTTCACGGGCCTATACGTGTGTGCCACACATGCCCCATGCATGGGTTTGAGTTCATTGAGACTTACGTGAACGGGGAACATCCCCTTAAAATTGCGGTCTTCTAGCTTTTCAGGTTCCCGATTTAGCAACTTACCCGCGAAAAGCTTTCACGGACTCGTACGTGGTTACCACACGGGTAAGAGCGCCCACTACGGAGATTGGAGCCCGTATTCGCATGTAGATTAAGTTCCCCAAGTTCCAGTCTTTTAGCTTTTGTGGGTGTTGAGATGAAAAATCGGCACAGACGCGCAGCGCACACACAGACACACACACAGACAACCTCTTGTCAATATGCGTTTTCTGCATTGCATAGTTGTAAAAAACTCATAAAAACGCTATACGAAATGCATGCGTTCTTTGTTACAGAAATGGTGCAAGAAGGTGTAGCTGGCTTTTCAAAAGACACAGATTTGGTGCGCTGTTTGATGGATTACGTCTGTGTGCTTGGAAAAGGTAAGCTGTGGCTGTTCGTTTAAAAATTATTTTTGAAACTTGGCACTGGTCAGAAATTTCTGGGCATTTATTGTTTCGGGTACGAGCGGAATTGACAGTTCGGACTTTTATGTTTCGACCTATCTTTTCATTTTTTGCTCACTACTATTTTGGGGACTCTTATCTTGCGTCGATTTTTCGCAGGCATTAGCAGGAAATAACATGTGTCCTATCTCGCAGCATGAAGTGGTCGCTTTTTTGAATTGTTTGAATTTCTACAACTCTTTTTCACGCCATTGTTTTGTGCAAAATGCATTGTGACGAACCTGCGGCTATGTATTTGTGTATTTGATAGTTAATTCAACTCAAAAGTTATGATGGCGAGGAGGTAAAAAATCAGGTGAAAAATTCGATTTAAGTGAAAAATTCGAGCTGATCTTGCCTGCGAAAATGATGAGGTGGGAACTAAAATGGTTTTAACTCATCGTACAGAGCGATAAAAATGACCATCGGACTGAGGTTTCACAACTCTAACCCTATAATTCAACTTCCCTCCTCTCACTAACCTTTAACATTTCGACAAACTTCCCTCCGCTCACTAATTTCTAGCAGTTCCTCAAATTATAAATAATTCTATATTATCTACCTTCTCACTCACTGGCTACCTTACCCTCCTTTTCCCTCCGTTAATTTTCCTTATGTAAACTTCTTCAGAAAGCCCAGGTACTCAGTTTTTCGGAATCAACACGCGCCGTTGGTCCGCTGCGTCCTGCCTCAACTAATGCTGCTAACTGGTCGCCTCAACCCAACTAGTCTCCCCCTTCTGCTGAGCAGCTTGTGCGTCGCCCCGGCTCGTCGTTTTTTTTTTTTGAACCGAAGCTTGTTTGGAAATAAACTGCTGGCATTCTTCCCTGTCTTCCGCTGCTGTAGTTATAGATCACGTAAGGACCTAACACAGCTGCTATTGGCTGCTTGGGATTGAGCTTACTGTTAAACCTAAACGTATGGTATTATTCAGCAAGAATTTACAGACCGTGTTTCGGAAGTTTGGGCAAAGGAGCGCTCCGTGATCACATTGCGGAGATTGTATGAAGCAGCCAAACGCATCGGTGGTGATGCAACGCTTTACGCAACTCGGCACGTCGATGATCAAAATTCTTCGTATCCGGTAACTATTTAAAAGAAGTTGTTTGAATATTTTTACTTCACTCCGTTGATCAAGCGTCGTTTTATCATTGTAACGGGTAGCATATCTTTGGTTATTCGCCTGACATTGCAATACTGACGTAGTCGGGTCCAGGGTGGTTTCCTAGGGGGGAGAAGGGCGATTTCCTCCCCCTCCCCCCTTCGG